GATGACAACAACAACAACCAAATGGGACCCAGCAAATACGGCCCCATTCTTGATCCGGAGACCCTCCACGGATACCTACGCTGTGGTCACCTCATGAACTCCCACTGCAGGTCTACTGGGATAGACCTCTACAGCACCCTGCATGATGCTTGCCTGCTATTCAGTTTTTGTTTCCATTTTCTTTAATGTTAACAGTCTACTTTCTTCTTTTCTTTTATGTTCCTGTATGATCCAACACATGGGTGGATCCCCAGTTTCAGACTCCCCCGGGTGTCGCCCAAGGGGCCATAGCTACAGGCAGTGACAGTGCTTTACCCATCATGTCCCACTAATGACCCCTAGTCACACCGTCCCACACCAGCAGGCTTTTATCCACATGCCCACCAAGGAGCCTCTGTGTAATAAGGAGCAACAAGTCCACCCTTGCCAACAAACCTTGCCAAGGTCCACGGATCCCCTGGTACCCGAATTGTATGTCCTTTACCACTGCCTTGTCCTAATAACCCAACAGGTCCTTATCTGAGGAACCACACCAGGCCACCCTCTCCTCAGGAATGCGTGTAATCGCACCACCACTATTATCGTGCCCACTGTCGAGCACATGACTTATTATCTCACCAAATATCCTAGCGTAGCCGCTCTTTAAACTCTTGTGTTTAAAAAATGTTCCCCACAGAATTTTTCTCACACATGCTCAAAAAAGAAAAAATGTGCCGATGTATACCTGTACTTGCTGTTTTTGATGTACATAATTTATATTTATTTAGTGCACTCTGTTTTTGTCATGCACAACCAAAATAAAGAATTATAAAATAAATAATAGCAAAGCCCTTTTTATTTAAGTATGCTAGTGGGATTAACATGATGCATGGACTTTATTGAGAAGGACAAATGGACTGTGTATAAGTTTATTTAGCTATTGACAGTGTGCTATAAAAAGGATTGCCACCTATTGAAGCCATCCGGGTTTTTTTTTTTTATATACCAGTGTGGAAATGCTACATTATTGAATCTTCTCCTAGAATCCTTGGACAGGGGTTTAGGGATTTCTTTTAGGGGACAACTTGCTTTCATAATTGTGTGTTTAGTTTTGCTTTCTGGTTGATTTATTTTTGCTACGTTTTGGGTTTTTTACACTGTATACCATGGTTCTCCCTGGGACTATGTCTTTATATTGACATTTTTTAAAACCATTTTTTTTTAGCAGAACAGTTGACTCTTTTTGCAGTACTACAGTGTGCATGTTTCTTCCACTATTGGTTAGTGCCAGGGCTCCCCGCCTTCTTTAACGGCTCTATAAATTTAAAGGGAACCTGTCATTACATAAACATCTTCAGCTCTTTAAAAAGAGCATACCATTCCATCTCTACACTGTGCTAGCAGTTTTTGTAGCAAATGTATAGGTCAGGCATAGGCAACCTTCAGCACTCCAGATGTTTTGGACAACACCTCACAGGATGCTTTGCCAGCATTATGGGTGTAAAAACATTTTGGGGTATGTAATCCAGAACATCTGGAGTACTGAAGGTTGCCTACCCCTGGTATAGGGTAAGAGAAAAACCTATTTAAAAAAAGATGTTTTTCCCATTTGTCTCTCAATTCATCAGCAGACATTCAATGGCAAAGAATTGAGAGCAAGGGAGATCACAATAGACCACCCACAGACAGTCCCTCTACTCACCCATAGCTGTGGTTGCTATGGTAACTCCCTAACCAGTGCTGCCAGGCCTGGCTCGGGAGTATAGGAACGTGAAGTCACTCCGTTCAGACAGCGACACAGTGGCAACGAAGACAGCATGTCTGTGTCATGGAAGAGGTTTGCACTGCTTGGGGAAGTGTCCAAGCAGGGAAAATAAGCACAGAACAGAGTAGGAGCGTGGGCAGAAGTGTAACACCCACCTCTCTGATGTGATTTTGGTGGAGGGCGAGGTAATATGTGAACGTGTGCATGTATCCCTATTAGCTATATTTATTGATTTTAAACCTCATTATAAGACATAACATTTACTGTTATGCAAGATGAGGATGACAATGAAGCAAGCTGTCATTACTTCCCGGATCCATTGCACCATGATTTGCACATGACATAGCAAAACTGATTGCAACACATTCCTATCTTCCTCAAAAGTCTAGGTATTGCTTTGAACAGGTTTCAAGTTTTAAATCTCTTTCATTTAGGACTACAACAGAATATTACGCTTACATTATTTCACAATAGTGAAAAGATCATATTCAATATGTATGTTCTATCCTTACTTTAGATTTATGTTTTTTAGTCATCAGAATAAGGAAGAAGAAAGGACAAAGAAATACAATAGTTTGACTACACTAAAGGCCTAATTCTCTTATGTGCAATAAAACAGCTGTGAGATGTGTTTTTTTTTTTTTATTTCATTAATCTAGAGTTGTTGTTTTTTAAATTAGTTTAACATTATAAACAGAAAAAAAAAATTCTTGGAATTTAATCATTTTATCATTTCTTTATTTTTAGAATCTGACAAACTGACCAAGCAGGATTTCATGACTAAAGACATTACTGCAAAACTAGCTGAGCAGATATTCCAGTTTACATTTCACTTTTTTTTTTTTTTTAACTATTTCTGGTTATGTTCTGGGGTTTTTTCTTACTGTCTGGAGTTTTTTGACACCATTCCTCCATTCAGCATTACATAAATTGTAATGTTAAAATGCTAATAAGAGTCACTAGCTGCCCATCCTCTCTGTGCTACTTATGCTAACTAGGAAGCATTAGCCTGAGCAGCAATGGGTTGCTGTGATTGGCTGAAAGTGTAAGCGGTTTTCAGCCCATCACAGAGCCCATTTCTGGTATAACTTGGGATTGCTTGAATGAAGTGTACAATCTCTGCCTTAGCAGTGCCTTCAGTGAGGATTGGGCCATGGGTGACCATGGACCCTCATTCAGTGTTAAACTGCTCAAAAATGGTTTAACACTCAATGCAGAGACAGTGCCAGAGGACTTCAGGCATGATAAATGATTCAATGAGCTGAAATAGCTATTATGCTTAGAGTTTCGGTTTAATTAAAAGGGTTTGCATTTTACTCTAACCATAGTAATGTTTTGTTCAATTAACATTTGGTATGTCTTTTTTCACTACATGGTTGTGTGTTAATTACATTGCAAATTCTTCATGTGATCCTAAGCCACTCCTTGTTGATGATTCTACTAAAAATAACAAATATAACTACAAAACAAGAAAATCAATCAATACTTGAAAATGAGGAAAGCAAATCATTAATGGAGAAATGAAGGACAAACTAAGGTCGGAACTGGAAACTGATTATCAGGAACCAGGGCTACATGTAAAACTGAAAAGGGAAGAAAAATTGTGACAATATCAGTAAGTATAATCCACATATTTGGAGGCAAAATACATACAACTGAAATGCTTCTAATAATCAAATAATGACTAAACTATTGTAATGATCTGAAATATAAAATCATATGTATCCTCAAACAACAATGGAAAGGGGAGGAGAAGAAGAAATGGTAGGGGAAAGAAATATATGCAAATAAAAGGTAAACCATCACCAGGGGCTGATTGCTCTTATGTTTTAGTCACTCTGTGCTGTAAGAGGTACAGGGTGTGTATAATGTATTTGTTTTGTATGTATTTTTCTCCCCCCTTTCCTTGTTGATTTCCCAGACGGGTGTTGTCCTATTGTTCCAATATTTATCTGTGTTTTTCAAAAAAGTTATTGCTTAACGTCATATTAATAGTAAAATATAACTCTCTTAGTCTAGTCTTAGCAATAGATCTCTTAGTTTTATTTAAAGTTGTGATGCAACAGAGAAAGTAAAATCTAAGGATTGTAAGAAATAAAACTTCCTGAGTGTGGATTCTTGAAGCACTCAAAAGATCTTCCAACCCAAAGAAAAAGATTTGGAAACCATGGCACCTCTTATGGAATGTGGTCTGATAGTACAGTATCAATACCAGCATATGGCATAGAACAATCCAGGATGAGAGATGTCTCAAAATGTTTTTGTCAGCAATACGGGTGTTTCGCCTGGCTCTCAGGTAGCATTTGTTCCCCTTAGTCTCAGACACCTTCCCTCCAAAACACGCTCCTCTGGTGGGTCGCAAAGTGCTTCAAAACCCCGGACCAAGTTGTCCGGGAACTGCAAGGTCACCTCATGCCAAAAACAGTTCCATAACAATCGCGGCTAAGTACCGCTGAGGTGACCGGAACCACAAAGTCCAAAGTAATGTTTTGTTCAATTAACATTTGGTATGTTTTTTTCACTACATGGTTATGTGTTAATTACATTGCACATCCCATCAAGTGATCCTAAGCCACTCCTTATTGATGATTCTACTAAAAATAACAAATATAACTACAAAACAAGAAAATCAATCTGAAATTAGTTCCATAGCAATCGTGGCCATGTACCGCGGAGGACGGTTTGTGGGTTAGGGTCATGCAAACGGCCGCCGGGGAGCAAGCATTCAGTTCCATTCGAATGAAGGGAAAGCTGCTAACTGCGGCTGGGCATCTCCACCTCCCCCCCCCACCTTCCCAAAGTACCTCTAGAGTCCAGTCTTGGGAGAGCTATGTGGCACCTTAGGCTTCAACGTGTTCCCATCCCATATGCAATTAGGTTACTATTCTTGCCCTCAGCCAAAAGACCTAGAAGTTATTGCTTAAACTCTGTGTATAGTCTGTTGTTTTATTTTGTTTTAGTACAATGCAGACTGAGCATCAACAGAAATATTGTCAGTCTTTCAAGCATTTCCCTTCTGTGATGCTTTTTTGCTCATTATTTTAACCTCATGAGCACAAAAGACTGATTTAAGGTTGTCAGAATCAAGACATGCGAATGTTGAACAGGTTTTACCAGAAGATTGCCTTCCTAAATCACAGAGATGGATGTGAATTGTAGCAAGGGATATAGTTTACTAACAAACCCCTGGCAGTATGGGTACCCAATACTTCCCCAGCCGCATTCCTCACACAGACCACACACTCCTTTCAGTCACTGTGAGTAGGCGGCCCGGTTATGTCATGTTATCACCACCCACTCACATGCCCCTATATATTGCTGCACTGAGCCTATAGAGTTACTACTTTCTGTGATCAGGGATTCTCTGTGTTCTGCATTCGACAGCAACAGCTTTAACAACAAGATGGTGAAACAAATCCATTCATTGGTAAGAGAATGTGTGCCACACCGGGTTCCAGTTAGGTCATTCCAGCGGTGTGTGTGTGTATTACAGGGTGTTCGTTTCTGATGACAGGTTTACGGTTGTGCGTTTCCTGGTTCTGTCTTGTTTTTACATGAATGGAAGCTTGTGTCTTTCATGGCTGTCTTAAAAAAAAAAAAAATAGATAATAATTTCATGTATAATATGTGGAATTGGAAAAATTCTCAGTCTGCTATCCTTTCATTTTGGCTTTACATTTTGAAATTCGCTTTGAATTTTCACTTTAGTGACTAACCCTGTATATGTGATCATACAAGTCTAAAGTATGAATTGTGGGCTGTAGGATATTCTGGCCTGAAATTTGAGATTCACCCAAAGTTCCTAACAGTTCATACTTTAAACCCTTTAGTACGTCAGGCAAGCTTTGCTGTCCTGAAAGGTTGGGCTTCAAAGTTCAAGGAATGAATAGATAAAAAAATATATGTTGAATGATCAGCTGTCTGATATGTTGATATCAAAATATACATATATTTTGTTGATATTTTGATATCAACATATCAGACAGCTGATCATTCAACATAATATATGTATATTTTTATATCAATATATCAGACAGCTGATCATTCAACATATATTTATTTATCTATTCATTTTATATAACTAAGTTATTCTATTAATTATAATTTGAAGAACCTGCCAACACAGGCAGAAAGCCCAGATAATTTAATTTGCAAGCCCTATATTTTAGCCTGAAACTTTTCAAAATACCATAAAACCTGTACATTAGGGTGTACTGTTGTACTTGGGAGACTTTTCTAAATACAAATACAAATGTATTAAAACAGTAAAATGTAAAGGAAGTTTTTTGTGTTTTTGCCAATAATATACCGCATGTGTCCACACTATCATTCTTTGAAGTTCTGCCTGTGTATAACATTCAGACTGATAGTCAGATGCAGACTTTAACTTTAGTGAATGATGTAAGGAACAAGGATTTAGCTTTGTTTCTCATGGTAGCTCTATTTGGAGTGGAAATGAACTGTACAAACATCAATCTAATTTGCCATGAAAACAAGGACAGAAAGTGCCTGTAGCAAGTGTAAAAAAAATTATCTTAGAGTCATGTCTACAAATGCTCGCAGTTTAGGGAATAAGACCCATGAACTTGTGGCAATAATGGCAACTGATAATGTAGATTTAGTCACTGTTAATGAGACATGGTATAATGAGAAAAATGACTGGGACATAGCAATACCAGGGTATTTTATTTTTTATATAGAAAAGACAGGGAAGGCAAAATGGGGAGGGGTGGCCCTGTATGTGAAGGATATCATGAAATCTAACCTAATAAAAGTTAGTGAGACTAACAGAGTCAGTTTGGGTTAGGTTAGAATTTGGTAATCGCACAGTAATTTGGTAACTCTCCAAAACACCATAAACCCTGGACATGGGAAGTCTTGTTGTACTTGTGCGACATCGCCGAACACAAATATGAGTGTTTTAGAGCAGTAAAATGGATAATGCTGATGATATCATTGGTGAAAAATGCAAAAAAAATAAACTAATATGAAATCTAATTTTGGCCAGGGTTTGTGACTAAGTGGCTACTAAAAAAGACTAGAAATACTCAATTATGAATATCCTGGGTTGTCTACTTTTACAAATGGTATGCCATGATGGGGTCAATTTTCATTCCTAGGCTGCCATATAGTTTCCCCCTGGAAGGATAAGGAAGGGGGAGCATGACTGCTGCCCAAGATTGGGGGCTGGGTTAAAATGGATACATTTGTGGTTCTTAAGGAAAGGGAGAGGGAGGGGACTTACCAGTCAGCAGGTTCATTGAGGGATCTTGGCTGTTTTCCCACCCTCCCACCCTGTTTCTGGGTTGTGGCTTGTGTCTTGTTTTCTTGTTTTGTGTTGTCACAGCTTGGCGGGTTTCCCTGGACAGCGCAGAAGAAAAAAGGAGCTTTGGGGAGACGACAGCCTGCACAGAGCTGATGGCGAGGAGCCGGCTGTCGAGGCTCATGGTATAGAAGTTGGGAGAACTGCCTGTTGGGAAACACCCAACAGCTGGCAGAGTTGGACTAAGTTAAAAATTATTATGTTAAATAAAGCTGTGGCCGTTGCCCTTATCCACAAGAAGAATGTGTCACGTGTATTATTTGGGGGGCAACGGGTTTATTGTTGGGGGACTGGTTGGGTCAGCAGTCATGTCTCAAAGGCAATATAGGACCATCAAATCAATCTGCATATTTCAATGTGCAAAAATGGAAAAGGGGAAAGCCCTAAATTTGACCCTATAAGTTTCCAAAACTCCATAAAACCTGAACATGGGGGGTACTGTTTTATTTGGGAGATATTGCTGAATACAAATATGTGCATTTTATTGCAGGAAAAACTAGCAGTATTATTACATTCACAGTTAAAATGTCATGCAGAACTTGTTCTTCACGCTTTTTTAGATTGTATTCATATTAAATTATGTTTCATATATACAAGTATTTCATGTGAAATGAAAGCCCTGTTTCTCCTTAAATGTTATATAATAAGTGTGAGTACACTTAAAGGCACACTGTAGGCACCCAGATCACTTCAGCTAATTAAAGTGGTCTGGGAGCTGGAACCCTTTTGCACGTCGTGCTGCAATGTTTACATTGTAGCTTTAAGTCTGCCCTCAGTGGCTGTCTAACAGACAGCCACTAAAAGGCTTTTGGAATCCAAACAGACTTTTGGTCTGTTATCTGATGCTGGACGTCCTCACGGACCTCCAGCATCAGATTTTCTCCATAGGAAAGTATTGAATAATGCTTTCCTATGGGGAGGTCTAATGCGCGTGTGGCCATTGTCGCGCATGTGCATTAGTACTTCAGTCTTCAAAAGTCTTCCTCCAAGTTTACCATCGAAAAATACACAGGACACCACCTCTTGTTTACTTCAAACAGAAATTGGTACCACCCTAAAATTGAAATGTACAGCTAGCTGTTTCCGACTTATGCATGGTGCCAGGGCTTTCATAGACTTGTACAAGCTCATCGTATTCTATTTACTTTTATTCTTGCTTACTTGTTTATTGGTTTAAAAGGAAAAAGTGATAACACCTCCACTTCATGTGCCAGCAGGCTTTCTTTTCTCAGTTACAAAATTCTGCTGGCTGTTGGGCATGCGTTCATGTGGTAGGGTATGTTTTTTTATTAGTTTTTAGGGGAGGACCCTATGTCCCTCATTTAATTAAATAGCCCCCACTAGCGGGGCACGAGTGGGGGTCGGCTGGCGGACACTATGTCCCCCCCGCTTGTTAATAGTTGTAGAGCCATGGGGCCATTTATGAGAAGGGTTTACTGTTCACTGTTTTCTAGACATGCCCCTACACATAGCAGAGTGAGTAGGGGCAGATTAACCCCTTAAAGCCATTTACGGCGTTCTATGCCGTCCCGCATTAAATGGGCTTTAAAGCCGTTGCGGCAGCATAGAACGCCGTAACGGCTTGCAGCCCCAGGAGCTCGGAGGTACTTACCTCCGCCGCAATCCTCTTCGGGAGGACTGCCTGACAGCCCAGGCAACCCTCCCTGGCAAATGAGGCCCCCGGGGGCCATGTGATCGCTCTCAAAGAGCGATCACATGGCCCCCTATAGCTGGCTGTGGATCTGCCAGCAGTGCGACTGTCTGAGATGTCGGACAGTCCCCCTGCTGGTGGGAAGTGTAAACAAAAATGATTAAACATGTTTTAAAATAAATGAAATGTATTTATATATAAATATAATATATATATTATAAATATATATACATCTTATATAAATGTAACGTCATACGTAATGTATTTTAATATTAATATATGTACATATATTATTATTAAAATACACTTAGAATGATGTTACATATATATACGATATATATTATATATATATAATACATCTATATATATTTTATTTTTATATATACACTTATAATTACAATAATAAATAAATTAAATGATAAAATAAATAAATAATTTTTTAAAAAATTAAATAAATTATATATACAAATGTAATTTCATTCTAACTGTATTTTGTTATTAATATATATATTGGTAACAAAATACATTTAGAATGACATTCTATATCTGTCTATATATAAAATACAAACAACCGCAAATATATATATATACAGATAAATATATATAATTACATAAATAACTACATAAGTCTACACGTAGACTTTAAATACATATATGTATACATATTAAAATTCTACCTGTATATTTAAGTAATATTTTAACATAATTATGTGATTTAATTAGTTAAAATTTGATTGACATGCCCGACAACCCAGGCAAAAAGTGCAGAGAATTTGAATTTCAAGCACTATATTTAACCCTGTAACTTTCCAAGACACCAAAAAAACTGTACATGGAGGTACTGTTTTACTCGGGATACTTCGCTGAACACAAATATTAGTGTTTTAAAATGGTAACTTGTATTACAACAATGATATTTTTAGTAAAAGTGAGTTTTTTTGCATTTTTCACACATGAACGACACTTTTACTGATGATATTATTGTTGTAATACAGGTTACCATTTTGAAACAAAAAATTGACTTTTTTTGCAGTAAAAGCTAACAGTATTATGACATTTACAGCTAAAATGTGAGGCGGAACTACAAATCTGTTTAAAAATTAAATATTTCTCACAGTTTTTTTTATTTTATTCATGTTAAATTATGTTTCATAGATAAATATTTGATATAATATGAAAGCCCTGTTTCTCCTGAACAAAATGATATATAATAAGTGTGGGTGCATATAATATGAAAGAGGTGAATTACGGTTTAACAGAGAGGGAGAGATGAGGAAGCGATTAGGGAAAGGTATGTTTGGCATTACAATATTGTCCGTGAAGTGACAGTTACCCTTCTTTCCTTTTAGCTTCCAGTCTGCTTTCTATGTTTCCCGCGCTATGCTTGTCTGTATGATATAGACATCCATTTTTACTGTTAGTGCTGCTTATGGTACTTTGATTCTACACATTCATGCCAATTGTATTGTTTGTTTTCCACCCTTCTAGGATGATTACCAGAAAGCGATTGCTGTAAAAGGCAAGCTTGTTGTAATTGACTTCACTGCTACTTGGTGTGGACCATGCAGATTAATTGCACCTCGTTATGAAGTAAGTCTCACTACTCGCCTAGCAGGCATGCTTGAGTGGAAACTGTAGCTGCCTCAGATAACACGAAGCATTCCATAGTTGCTATGGGGTGGAGGGGGGGCAACTCCTACAGCTTCCAATCCACCATTACAGCTGTCAGTCAATGATCCATGTATAGTAGCTAATTTAATATAATTATATTTATTTCTTAATTTACTTCTTCCAGAAATTCAGCGAAGAGTTCGTTAATGCTGACTTTTATAAAGTAGATGTGGATGACGTGACGGTGAGTAAGCTATATTGTCTTGTTCTCTGCATGGCCTTCATAAACATACTAATATAGAAAATTGCATGGTTGTTGGGAGTATGTATTAAATGTACCATATTTCTAATATTTTATTATTGAGTTATAAAGCACATCTTACATGTAGGTTTTGAGGTATAGAACATGGACTACTGAGTTTGATTGTGTCAACATTCAAACTGCCATATCATATATAACTATTTTAATCAGTTTATGATTTTTTTTAATGTGTTCTGTATATTGTTTTTCTGTTTTATTTTAGGATGTCGCTCAACTCTGCGGAATCCGTGCTATGCCTACATTCATATTTTACAAAGATGGGAGTAAGGTACTATAATATTTAACAAAACTTGTTATTGTTGGGGATTGTTCCCACCCCTTCCCCAATTGTAAATAGTGAAACCTTTTTGAGTGCTTTGATGAATTACTTGGTGTCTGCCAGATACTGCTCCCCGCCTCTACTACTAATGCAGAGAGCTGTAAGTTCCTAAGCATACAGTGAGGCGAAAAAGTATTTGATCCCCTGCTAATTTTGAATGTTTGCCCACTGACAAAGAAATGATCAGTCTATAATTTTAATGGTAGGTGTATTTTAACAGTGAGAGACAGAATAACAAAAAAGTTCTACATTTATTTGCATGTCAATGAGTGAAATAAGTATGTGACCCCTTCGACTTAGTACTTGGTGGCAAAACCCTTGTTGGCAATCACAGAGGTCAGACATTTCTTGTAGTTGGCCACCAGGTTTGCACACATCCCCTATTTGCAGATCCTCTCCAAGTCATTAAGATTTTGAGGCTGACGTTTGTCAACTTGAACCTTCAGCTCCCTCCACAGATTTTCTATGGGATTAAGGTCTGGAGACTGGCTACTCCAGGACCTTAATGTGCTTCTTCTTGAGCCACTCCTTTGTTGCCTTGGCTGTGTGTTTTGGGTCATTGTCGTGCTGGAATACCCATCCACGACCCATTTTCAATGCCCTGGCTGAGTGAAGGACGTTCTCACCTGAGATTTGATGGTACATTGTCCCTTTGATGCGGAGCAGTTATCCTGTCCCATTAGTAGAAAAACACCCCCAAAGCATAATGACTCCACCTCCATGTTTGACGGTGGGATGGTGTTCTTTGGGTCATAGGCAGCATTCCTCCTCCTCCAAACATGGCAAGTTGAGTTGATGTCAAAGAGTCTCATGTGACCACAACACTTTGACCCATTTCTCCTCTTAATCATTCAGATGTTCATTAGCAAACTTCAGACAGGCTTGTACACTTGCTTTCTTGAGCAGGGGGACTTTGCTGGTGCTGCAGGATTTCAGTCCTTTACAGCATAGTGTGTTACCAATTGTTTTCTTGGTGACTATGGTCCCAGCTGTCTTGAGATCATTAACAAGATCCTCCCATGTAATTCCTCACTGTCCTCATGATCATTTAAAACGTGAGACCTTGCATGGAGCAACAGACTGAGGTAGACTGACAGTTATTTTGTGTTCCTTCCATTTGCGAATAACTGTTGTCACCTTTTCAATAAGCTGCTTAGTGATGGTCTTGTAGCCCATTCCAGCCTTGTGTTGGTCTACAGTCTTGTCCCTGACATACTTGGACAGCTCTTTGGTCTTGGCCATGGTGGAGAGTTTGGAATCCAATTAATTAATTGATACAGGTAACACGCTGAGATTAGGAGCACTTCCTTTAAGCACTCCCTTGTCCCTCTAATCTCAGCTTGTTACCTGCATAAAAGACACATGGGAACCAGAAATCTTGCTGATTGATAGGGGATCAAATTATTTTTTATTTTGTATGCTAAATCACAACCTATATTATTGCACCATGAACAAAGCTGTGTATAAACTGATAAAAGATGTAAGAGCAGCTCCATTATTTCTGAATAATGATTTGAACTGTTCTTTGGGTTTAAATCACTTATCCTTTTGACTCCTGCTGGACATAAAATCATGGGTTAAGAAATACCCCTATAGACCAGAATTAGACACTCCTTATTGGAGTGTCTCAACCAGCTGTGGGAGGGATCTGAGTGCAGGTTTATCAGAGCATCGTGTATGATATACATCATTAGCATCCTGCTCAGGGCCAACCTTTGAGATGTGCAAGCTGTGCGGTCGCACACAGAACCATGACAATAGGGGCTCCTGGTAACAAACACAGCTCATAAGCAGAGACTGGCATATTAAATGAAAACTATTAACTGGTGGAACAATTGTGCACATCAGCAGTGATAAATATCCCAGACTCCAAATAGTATACTGTTATAATTCCTGATTTTTAATTAACAGCAAGTGTAACTGGCAATATGGAAGGTTTTATAAACCTTTCTTATATATAGTGGATATTACAACCCAGAAGGCAGTACTGCAATAATTAAAATCCTGTCTATCTGTTGCATTTGGGGTGATAAACCCTTCTGTGGCATGAGTGTTTTAATTAAGCCATAATGCAATTTCTTTACATTCTTGGAATTAGACTTCGAAGTCAACTAACAATATACTAGCAAGTGTTGCTTTCAATTGTAACCGCAGCCGGTTCCTCTATTTACCACTATATCGTTTTAAAGCATAACATTTAGCAAGGCTAACCGTACAGGTATCTTAGCCATAATATTATATAGTTAGTAAGAGTTCCTCTTTTTAAAATATATTAATAATTGAGAACACAATATAAAATAGGTATTGTCTAGGAAGAAATAAAGTTTTGTCTTTTTAAATATTTTATTAAACAAAAATATAGACATATAAAATCCATTACAATAATTTATAGCAGAGTTTATAAGATTAAAGTATATGCTTGCAATATCAATAAAATAGAATAACATACCTTCCTGAACATGTCAACTGCTCAGTGATGGTAAAATGGAGCAGCTTCTCTGTCTCCAAAATCTCTTTTCTGTGTCCTAAGTACACATATTTATACCTTAGATTTTCAATTGGGTCATGTTAGGACCTATCTTAACTTGGCAAAGATTTGAGGCCATAACTTGGTAATTTCACATGGTAACATCTTATCTATGTTTAGACTAAAACATAAGGGTGCACATGACATGGGAAATTCCCTGACATGGAGAATTACACTAACCTAGGACAAAATGGCGTCCTAAAGTCTGAACACCATATTCACTGAAAATGAGTAAGAGGTCATTTATTCAAGAAACAATGTATACAAAACAATATGTTCCATTTCAAATAACAAGTTTGAGAAAAAATTTTTAGTTTTTAAAATTCTTTATTTTACTTGTGCATGTGGTTACAAAAACACGCTTGCAACGCCACGATAGCGACTGCGAGCAATTCCATGACAATCATTGGCATAGTTAAGAGGTTGCACATTTTATATTAGAAATGTATAACAAGCAAGTAATGCGTAAAGTGATTAAAGAAAATAAGAAAATAAGTACACATGGTAAAGTAGGGAAGTATGGCTTTGGTGTAGTGCCTGATGTGTACTAAAATTGTGCTTGGAGCCTTAGCTTTACAACAACCGATTGATACCTGATGTGTGCGAGTTTAGTTTGCGCTTTTAAGGTTTGAGAAATATTTTAAAGACAAAGTACACAGTTTAAGAACTACAACTTTTTATTCTAAAACTTGTAATATTTGCATATGCCCATAACAGAATGAATGTACACACACACACACACACACATATATATATATAAATATATATATATATATATATATATATATATATATGTATGCTTGTATGTATATATAGAAAAATAGAAAAATAGAAAACCAATTATATTTTTTTTAAAGTAATTTCATACTATAGTTAAGTCTGTAACTTAAAAAAACCCCATAAAACCTGGATATGGGGGGGGGGTACTGTTTTACTTGGCACACTTTGCTGAACACAAATATGAGTGTTGTAAAATAGTAAAACATTATTACGATGATGATATCATTAGTGACAGTGCAGTTTGGTGTAAAAAAAAAGGAAAAAACAAATATAAATGATAACTTAAAATAACCAAGTCACAGGTAAAAGAGATTAGAAAGTGCAAAATTGTGCAGACTAGCCACTGGAACAGGGGACACTCTCTATATCAAAAATACAAGTGCAAGAGTTGTATATAACTTAAGTTAAAATGCAATACAGGGCGCCACAATCACAACGTGTGAAATGGAAATAGTTACCATAATCGTTGAAAAAGCACAAGATTCACATAAAAAAAAGAAATGAAGATCATAGTACAAACTTTAATATACAAGGATTGCTAAAAACATATAAATGGAACACTCATAAAAATAGTGATAAATTGAAAGAAATTAATATGTACAAAAGCACTTATTGCCTCAATCGGACTAGGTCCCCAGGAATGCCAGTAATCAGCGGATACCTCTAGACACGGGATAGTCTATCCTCCACAGGGCCGTGTATAATATGATTAGGACCCTGGGCAATGCATTTTCTTGGGCCCCATGGGCCCTGTCCCTGCCACTGCCTCACCCCCCAATTACGTCCAACCCGCAATCACACTGACAGACGTACTAGCACATACACACACAGACAGACATTAAAACATTCACAGATACATACTGACACACAAAGTCACTACACACAAATATATACTGGCAGTCATACTGACACACACACACAGACATACATACATACACAGACACATACATTAACAGATATACTGACACACACACAAACACATACACTGACAGATATACTAAAACACACAGACACATACACTGACAGACACATTGACACACACACACACACACAGGCATACTGACATATACACAGACAGACGTAATGACTGATACAGACAGACATTAAACATTCACAGATATATACTGACACACACATACACTGACATACAAATATATCCTGGCAGACATAGTAACACACACACACACACAGACATACATACACACACAGACACATACACTGACAGACATACTGACTGACACACACATACACACACAGACATACTTACATACACACACAGACATACTTACATACACACACAACACAGACATGCTGACACACAAAGACATGCTGACACACACACACAGACATACTGACATACACACAGACAGACGTACTGGCACATACACACAGACAGACATTAAAACATTCACAGATACATACTGACACACACATACACTGACACACAAATATATCCTGGCAGACATACTGACACACACGTACACACACACACAGAGACATACCCACATACACACACACAGACATACTGGCATACACACAGACATACTGACACACACACACACACTGGCATACACACACAGACATACTGGCATACACACAGACATACTGACACACACACACACACACACTGACATACACACACAGACATACTGGCATACACACAGACATACTGACACACACACACACAGAGACATACTGGCATACACACAGACATACTGGCATACACACAGACATACTGACACACACACACACAGACATACTGGCATACACACAGACATACTGACCTACTGACATACATTTAGCCACCCTCCAGGTTCTTACCTTTTCCTGGAGGGTGGTTTCCCTGGTCCAGTGGCAGGCTGAGGCAGATGGGAGTTCTCCTCTGGAACTCCCCTCCTCCCTGCCTTCCTCCTCCCGCGCGGCTATCTCCGGTGGGAGGAAGTGACGTCACTTCCTCCCAGCCGGCTGCAGAACCGGAAGAGGGGCCCGGTCGCGCTGTTTAAGCGCCACAGCGCCCGACCGGGCCCCTGCTGACACATGCTCCCCGGTTGGCCCTTAGTGCATGGGCCACCCGGGGAGACTCCTCAGTGTGCGGGAGCCGCACCGCAGGGGCTGCGCAAATCGCGGGGCCCACAGAGCAGCTGCTCTGGGCCCCCAGGAGCAACTGGGCCCGGGGCAGCTGCCCCGTTTGCCCCGCGTTAAAGATGGCCCTGATCATCCACAATGAGTAGATCACCAAATCTGACCGTTGTCTGAAATGAGGAATTCTTTATCCTGCTGTACTGGTGACATTTCAGGGGCTTGCACAACACGTTTCATCAAGGTAACTTCCTCGGGAGCTTCTTGTTCCCCTTCAGTATTCACCTTTTAAATACACCGGGCTGAGTCTCTTCCATGTTTCAACGCACACGGGGAAATGCATAAACGGAACACACTGGAACGCAAAACAAACTTTATTGTAAGCACTATTGGGCAACAACCACAAGCTTATATAGACAAACTCTGGTATCAAACCCTGTGCTGTAAGGAAAGAAAAATTAAAGTCCACAAATTGATTCTATGTGGAAACAGAACTAATAAAAACGTATAAAAAATACTAAATAAAAAAAGAGAGTCCAAAAAAGGATGTCTGTGTATGACGGAATCAATTTGTAGGCAATAGTGAAAGACATAAAATATATAGAGATACAAAATCAGAGTAGATACATATCTTGATCAAACACAAAATATGTATAAATAAATGGTACAAAGGCTATAAAAAATATAATACAATATAATTCTAAAATTGTAAATAAAAACACAGGAAGGAAAAAGTGCAAAAACAGAAATGTAAGACAAATTTAAAACCTTTACAATTCATGCAATGTCTCGATATGCCGTGTTTAAGATTTTTTCGGTTGATTCCATTAAAATGCTCTAATAACCTTAAGTGCAATTTACAAATAGTACGACCCACATATTGTATACCACATTTACATTGTAGCAGGTATATAACATTTTATTCCGGTCTTTAGTAACATAATTTTATCCGAATTTGATAAATTATTTACTAAGAATGGGAAGGAAAACTTATCGAGAAAAGAAAAAATTGCACCTATACAACTAAAGGAAAACAATGATCTAGTGATAAGACAGGCCAATAAGGGTGGTGGAACAGTAATCCTTAATCATGGTGAATATATAAAGGAATCATTGGGAATTTTGGGAAATACAACCACATATAAAATTTTAAAAAGTAACCCAATGGAAGATTTTAAGAAGCAGTTATTATCACTTTTAAATGAGGGTCTCAAAAATAAAGTTATTAATAAGGACAAATTTGAATATATTTTTATTAAATCGACAAAAATGGCACATTTTTACCAATTACCTAAGATCCATAAGAGGCTAGATAATCCACCAGAGAGACCAATCAAAAGTGGTATAGGATCCCTGACCAGTAATGTTTCTGAATATTAAGATTTTTTTTCTACACCAGTTTGTGATAAAAAGCCCCATTATGGGCGACTGTAGATGTCACTTTGATATATATAGTTATTGATCATGCGAAGGGTATACAAGCAGTAAAGGAAGTCTTAGATGGTGATCCCAATATGAATATTTTACAGGCCAAGATTATATTGGACGCAATTGAATTTATTTTATTTCATTTTTTGTTTTTGTTTAATGGTAATCATTATCTGCAGATCTGTGGGACAGCAATGGGCATCAGGTTTGTGCCAAGCTACGCAAATATCTTTGTGGCTAATTGGGAGTTAAAGAACATCTGGTGTGAAACTGGTGCTCTGGAAGTGTTACATAGATGACGTTTTGATTATCTGGGATTGCCCTAAGACCTCTTTGGAAGATTTTTTTTAATTATATCAATTCAAATTCTTATACTCTTACATTTACTGCAGATATTCAAACTACAGAAATCATTTTTTTAGATTTGACCTTTATTAAGAATGGCCATGTACAGAATTAAATGTTTTTTAAGTCCACCGATGGTAACAGCTTCATTGAATTTTCCAGCTGTCACCACCCTAATTGGCTTAGAAATAATATGAAAGGACAACAACTAAGGCTTTTTAGAAATTGCAATGAAGTAAGTGAGTGATTTTAACAGTTAAGTACAAGTTCTTAATAACAAATTTAAAAATAGAAATTATCCTACAGACCTTGTGGAAGAATCCCCAAAACAAGTTATAAATTTAAATAGGAAACATCTTTTCAAAAGATAAAAAGTGAAATCAGGAAATAAAGATTTGAACACAGTTTTTATTACAAAATATAATAGTAAGGCCCACTTAATTGAGAGAACAATTAGGAAGCATTGGCCCATTTTAATTCAAGATAAATTTTTAAGAAATATTATGCCTAAAAAAACCCTGTGTTATTTATAAGAAGACTGAAAGTTTAAAATCCATCTTGGCCCCGAGTGTTTTACCGGAGTTTAAGATGAAGAATGGCCCAACAACCCATATTGATAATAATTTTTAAGAGAGTAACCAAAAGTGTTTTTTAAATGTGGCAAATGCAGTACATGCAGATTTCAAGATCATAAAACAGTAGATTTTAAGAAGTCTTTAAAATCAAGCACTTTATTAACTGCCAATCTAAAAATGTTACATACAAGCTACAATGTAAATGTGGTATATAATATGTGGGTCGTACTATTCGTAAATTGCACGTAAGGTTATTAGAGCATTTTAATGGAATCAATCAAAAAAATCTTCAACATAGTGTACCGAGACATTGCATGAATTGTAAAGATTTCAAATTTGAACATTTTATATGTATCGGTATCTATCTGAGGGGGTGACACAGAGAAATCTTTAGCAATGAAAGAGACCAAATGGATTTTGAAACTTAGAACTTCAGTGCCTAATTGCCTGAACATGGATTTAGACATTCTGGTATTTATGGATTACGATATTGCTCTTTTTATGTATTTTACAATGGTAAAATAAATTTTTATTAAATATTGTTATTACATTTTGTTGTTATTAACTTTCCACTTTTTTCTCCATAGATAATCCATTTTGTACCACCATTTATCTTGATTGTGTATTTTCTCATTTTCTGTTTTTGCACTTTTTCCTTCCTGTGTTTTTATTTACGATTTTAGAATTATATTGTATTATATTTTTTATATCCCTTGTACCATTTATACACATTTTGTGTTTGATCAAGATGCTGTATCTACTCTCATCGGTCTGTATTCTGATTTGGTATCTCTATATATTTTATGTCTTCCACTATTGCATACAAATTGATTCCAGCATACACAGACAATCTTTTTTGGACAGTCTTTTTTTAATTAGTATTTTTTATTAGTTTTTATTAGTTTTGTTTCCACATAGAATCAATTTGTGGACTTTGATTTTTCTTTCCTTACAGCACAGGGTTTGATACCTGAGTTTGTCTATAACTGTCTAGGACTAGGTTGTCTACTTTTTCAAATGGTATGCTATGATGTGGGTAATTCTCATTCCTGGGCTACCATATGGTCTCAAAGGCAACATAATCAAGCTGTCAAGTTTCAATGTGCAAAAACAGAAATGGCAAGTCTTCTATTTGACCCTGTAATTTTCCAAAACACCATAAAACCTGGACATGTGGAGTTCTGTTGTACTTGTGAGTCATCACTGAACACAAATATGAGTGTTTTAGAACACAATCATATACTGCTGATTATATAATTGGTGAAAGGGCAGTTTATTTGTAAAAATAAAAAAGGAAAAAAAATAAATATGGCTGCTTACTTTCACCATTGTTTTGTGACTAAGGGGCTTTTAAGAAAGACTGGAAAAATTATATTTCATATACCTGGGGTTGTCTACTTTTCCAAATGGTAAGCCATGATGGGGGCAATCTTCATGTGTGGGCTGCCATACAGTCTCAAAGGCAACATAACCAATCTGGCAAAATTGAATACGTAAAATCTTAAAATGGGGAAAGCCCTATATTTGACCCTGTATCTTTCCAAAACCCCATACAACCTGTACATAGGGGGTCATGTCGATGAGACATCGCTGAACACACATATGTGTGTTTTATTGCAGTAGAAACTAACCATATTATGACGTTTACAGTTAATATGCCACACAGAACTACGAAAATAACATTTCTTAATTTCTCATCATTTTTACCTTTTTATTCTTATAAAATTATGTTTCATATATAGATATGTGATGTGAAATAAAAGCTCTGTATTCTGAACAAAATGATATATAAGTGTGGGTGCACTTAGAGAGGGCAATTATGGATGAACAGACATATAGTCAAATTCTAGGGTTTGTTTTAATCAGAATGTGTACAATTGCCTCAGTCCTTAAGAGGTTACAATGTTGGCAGATTTTAATCTTCTGCTTCTAATCTTTTGACAGATTGATGAACTATGTGGTGCTAACGAAGGGGAACTGAAGAAAAAGATCTCTGCACATGTATAAAGAAACTAATCCTGATCATAGAATCTATTTCTGCAGGACATCTATAGTTAGCTGCCAGTGGACTATGTTTTTAATATGAACACTCAGGATACTGACATTTAACTTAAATATCAATAGTCTCATGTTTACTTTTGGAACATATCTACAAATGATTAGAAGTGAAATGCGTCCACAACACGTCTACTTTATGAACATATATCAAGTCCTATTTTAAGAATTTGTACCTCTTGAACATTAGCTTTTGACTTCTATTGCTGGAAATGCATGTTTTTTTGTTTTTATTCATTTACATTTGTCAAAATTAAAATTAAAATTATACGAGTTGGTCATTAATTTTTGTGTTGTGTGTTTAAAATATATATATATATATATATATATATATATATATATATATATATCTCGCAGTAAGTGTTTTGTTACATTTACTAGAGTGAAAGGGGACAATATGATAGTGGCAGTTATTTCCCCTATTACAATTCACTTGTATCTTTAAGATTTATACTAACCTAAATAACAATTAGAACACTGCGGTGAGAAACGTTCAAAGTTGTTAATTGGTGTTAACAAGCTCCAGGGTGGTCTATGGTTCATGCGGTTATTCAGTAAATTGAAGTGCCGCTTCGAATTGCTGCAGGAATTCGAAGTGCTGCTTCATAAGTCCAAAAAGGCCCAAACAGTGATTTAAACCAAGTTTTATCACAGGGGCCATGGTCACAGGGTAAGAGGCTGGCAAGTATGCCCCTCCAAGAACCCGTGATGAGGTCCAGTTCATCAAACCAGGCAGTGTTCATTATGGGATTACATAATCCCTAAAGTTTCTTGGATAATTGTGTTCTTTTAATGATCTGTTTTATCTCTTATAAATGGTGTGATTAGTTTTGCAGTTGTTTACTAAACTGATTCTCAATCACCCTTTCGGCAGTGGCTGAAAACTGAAAAATTAGAACTGTGATATCTTTCCGTGTCCTGCCTGTAAAATCAGATGATACAGAAATGTAAAATAGCACATCATTTGTTGAAAGTTAGTGAAAAGTAGGGGATTTGAGAGGGTTAATACAAATAGAAACCACCACAAAAACCCTTTAAGTGAAGCGCTTTAGTATACTTACCCCTATTTTTAGCGGTATCGGCTTATCCCAGGTAGGGTTAAATATGCAAAACAAGAAAAAAGAGAGAGATCTTTAATGGTGAAGTACGTCTAGTAATGGTAAGAGAGATATAATTGATGGTGATTTTACACTCACAAGTGGAGAGCCAAGTTAGTGTATTGGCTCAAATCACATAGGCTTTGGTGTGCATAAGGGGACACCTTCCCTCTTTGGTTTTCTTACTTCAATCCTCAACAGTTTACTTCTCCAGAGTGTAGCTGCAGAAAGGTCTGCAAATATCTTGACCTTGATCCTCAAAGAGGAAAACACATAAAGGGGGTTAACCCTTGATGAAGTATGTTGTGATAAATAATATATACAATAATATCTCAAAATAGAAAATTGCTCACCTTGTCCAGAGCCAATATAAATCAACCTGGCTCTGGTTTACACAGCTTATTACCCACTAAGGAGGGAAAAACTTTCTTTAAGAGGTAGATGCAGGTAGGCAGCAGGTTATAGTAAATTATCCCGTTGATCAATTTATTAAGGTGTTCATGCATTATTGGATATGTATGGGGGGGGGGGGTTATTCTTAATGCCCAATGGTACCACTATGCGCATGGCAAGACTTACTGAGATCCTCTGAAGGCAGGGCCGATCCCGGGTGGGTGCACAAAGCCCAGGTGCTCTGTACACAGTTTAAGGGAGATACAATATAAATAATTAACGCCTTCTAGCCCTGGGAACTGGGTGTCTCTGAGTGATTAAACCCACTACAACACTTCTTAGAAGAACCACTTATAGGTATGTGATTTAGGCCTTTTTGTTTATTGTGTGTGTGTGTGTCTGTATGTGTAACAATTGTTTTTGTGTAACATGTTGTATATGTGTATATGTATGTGTGTTTCTGAGTGTGTATATGTGGAATAGTACATGTGCATCTGTAAGTATGTAACAGTTTGTCTGTACCTGTGAGTGATTGTAGTATGTGAATTTGTGTCATTGGCAGGTGCACGGCGTGCAGTAAGTCAAAGTGCTGCGAGGAGCGGGCCCATGGCCGGTGACAGGGGGACCAGGAGGTGGCCAATTAGCCACCTTAGGGTGCCACTGAAATGAGAACTTACTAACCAATGCAGAGTAGGCAACTGCTTATCCCAGACAGCAGCTGCTTACTCTGTTAAAATATACTGGGAGGAAGGAGGCAAATGGCAGTATCAGCGAGGGAGCGTTCTCTTCCAGTTCCTCAGTGCTCCCTGACGCACCCTCTGTAGTGATGCCCGGAGCTGGAATATGACATCACTCTTGCCTCAGCACCACTACATAGGGTGCACGAGGGACCAGAGTGAATCTGGAAGATCTATTCCCTACTGGACCCCAGGGAGAAGATTCACACTGTACCCCAGGGAGAGGATCCACACCAGCACTCTCAAAGAAATAAAAACATTTTTGAGTATATGTGTTGAGAGTGTGTCTCTCAGTGTGTGTCTATCAGTGAGTGTTTCAAATAAGTGAGATTGTGGGTCTTATTGAGAGTGTGTGTCAATGTGTATGTCAGTATTTCAAATCAGTGTGTGTCTCTCAGTGACTGTTTCAAATCAGTGAGATTGAGTGTCTAAGTGTACAGTTGTGCTCAAAGGTTTTCATACCTCTGGAGAATTAGTAATATATGCACCATTTTTTTTTATATATATATATATATATATATATATATATATTAAATGTATTGATGCATAAATCTTCAATACATGGCATGGCATTACAATCATGCTTGAAAAGGTACATGGTGTAATACTTATACATTTACAAGAAAATATGAGTGAGCAGGCAAAACACATTTCTTTTATTTCTTATGGGATCCATATTCAACTGTAGGTTATAATAGAACGGAACAATCAGAAAACAAAACATCCCAACAAAGAAAAAATGAAATAACCCCTGTTCAAAAGTCTGCATACCCTTAGTTCTTAATAATGTGTATTGTCCCCTTTAGAATCAATGGCAGTGTGCAGTTTTTTGTAATAGTTGTCTATGAGGCCCTGAATTCCGGCAGGTGGTATAGCTGCCCATTTGTCTTGGCAAAATGCCTCCAGTGCATGCAAATACTTAGGTCGTCTTGCATGAACTACACGTTTGAGATCTCCCCAGAGTGGCTTTATGATATTAAGGTCAGGAGACTTTGATAGACATTCTAGAACCTTTACCTTTTTCTGCTGTAACCACTGGAGGGTCAACTTGGTCTTCTGCTTAGGGTCATTGTCATGCTGGAAAGTCCAAGAGGGTCCCATGCTCAGCCTTTAGTGCAGAAGAATGCAAATTGTCTGCCAGTATTTTCTGACAACATGCTGTATTCATCTTGCCATTAATTTTCACAGGATTCTCTGTGCCTTTAGCGCTCACACCCAAAACATCAGTGAGCCACCACCATGCTTCACAGTGGAGATGGTATTCATCTCACTATAGGTCTTGTTGACCCCTCTCCAAACATAGCACTTATGGTTGTGACCATAACGCTCTATTTTGGTCTTGTCACTCCAAATTACAGTGTGCCAGAAGCTGTGAGGCATGTCAGTGTGTTGTCGGGCATATTGTAACTGCGTTTTTTTTGTGGAATTGGCGCAGTAAAGGCTTCTTTCTTGCAACTCGACCACCACACAGTCTTTTACCAGAGCAGCCTGTATTTCTCTTGAGGTTACCTGTGGGGTTTTCTTTGTATCCCAAACAATTATTTTTGCTGTTGGGGCTGAAATCTTTCTTGGTCTACCTGACCTTGGCTTGGTATCAAGAGATCACTGAATTTTCCACTTCTCATAAAAATGATTGAACTGTACTGACTGGCATTTTCAAGGCTTTGAATATTTTTATATCCTTTTCCATCTTTATAAAGTTCCATTACCTTGTTATTCTACTCCCCATGGCTCGGTATCTAGTCTGCTCAGTGCATCCACATGAGAGCTAACAAACTCATTATCCTATTTAAAACAGACACTAATTGCAATCTAAAAAGCCACAGGTGTTTGCAAATTAACCTTCAATTGCCATTTTAACATGTGTGTGTCAATTTGTGTGTCTGTAACAAGGCCAAGGGTATGTAAACGTTTGGTCAGGACCATTTGGGTAATTTCTGTTATCATTAGGATTTAAAAAACACGCCAAACAACTATGTGATACTACATGGCTTCATATAATAACTATCCTTCAATAAAATAAATGTTTTGCAGGATCAGTCATATTTTCAAAATCAATGCCAAAATCTCACAATTTCTGCCAGGGTATGCAAACTCTTGAGCACAGCTGTATGCAAATGTATCTGTCATTGAATATTTCAAAACAGTGTGTGTCTGTCAGTGACTGTGTTTGAGATCAGTGAGATTGTGTGTCTCACATATTGAGAGTGTATGTCAATGTGTCTGTCAATTTGTTTGTCACACACACACACACACTGACTGACAGACACATTTCACTGACAAACACGCACATGCACACGCACACACACACTCACTAACTGATAGATACACACACTCATTGACACACACACACACTGATAGACACACCCACTAACTCAAAGACACACTCACTGAGAAACACACATGCTGACAGACACACTCACTCACTGACATATACACATTCACAGACACACACTTACTGACAGACAGACACACATTCGCATACAGACACACAGACACTCACTCACTGACAGACAGACACACACTCACTGATATACACACATACACACACTCACTCTGACAAACACACACATTTACACACTCTCACTGACAAACACATACACTCACTGAAAAAAAACACACACTCACTGAAGGAAACACACATGCTCACTGACAGACACAACTCTCACTGAAGGAAACACACATGCTCACTGACAAACACCACACTCACTGAAGGAAACACACACATCCAGTGTGGAGGTATGATGTAATCTTGCCATTCCATTTTTAGTATGCCGGGGTCTGAATGATATCATATTCCAGATCCCGGCATCACAGAGGGAGGAGTGAGGAGCTGCAAGATCAGTGCTGCCGCCTCACCGCCACTGCAGGTTGCTTCAACACCTCACTGGCAAATATCAATAGAGTAGGCACCTTAAATCTAGGGAAGCTGGAGCCTACTTTGCCTTACTGAATGGGTACCCTAACATAGCCAGTCTGCCTCCTCCTGGGCTCCCAGTGACAAGGCTCCTCTTGGCGACCTTCAATTTTGTGCACCTGAGTTACAACTCTTTAATAC